TTCACGTTCCTCCAGCTCCTTACATTGTTGCCTAAAAAATCATGAACAACATGTCTAAACGCAATCCATGCTTCTTTTTCAACAGCAGACATTTTGTCCTCCAGCTCCTTACATGCCAACATAACTTTCATCTGCGGACCAACGAATACACCGAAAATTTTTACATGTGACACCTTTGGAAACATCTGCCGAATATGCTGAAACGCTGGGTTTAATGCTTTGACAAATTATTTGACAAGACCTAGTTAATTGTGAAGGGGTGGTAGTAAGATCTTCTCAAAACTGCCTTTAGACTTCTTGTTGAACTGTCAATGAATAACCTCAACTCTTCAGGATTGTGACAACGCCAATGTGATTGAAAAGACCACGAGCATCATGACAATAGCACAGTGATTCTGATACTACATAAAAGGATGCAAATGTTTCATGTCTTGTTCGGTATTTCGAGGTTCTGCAGCCTGAATCTAATAAATTCCATTCTTTCAAACGTGATGTCAAAAGTTCTGCATTTGATTTAGTAAGACCTAAATCTCGTACTAAGCCATCAAGCTCTTGTTGGTTTGGGAAATGAGGTGAATTATTCGGTTTGATGAAATCACAGTCATCAAGGAGTTCATCCGATGTGTCTACATCAGAATGGTATGCAGTTGTTTCTTCTGATTGAGTTGGGTTAGAAACAGGCAATTCATCACTGTGTGGAACTGGTCCAATAGAAGAGGGAATACTTGGATAAACTAAAGTCAGTCTATCCTTCGGCTTTTTATACTTTGTAATATCAACCATGCAGAAATAACAGTCACCATGATGGTTCAACGGTTCTCTCCATATTCTCGGAATCGCAAAGGGCATTGACTTTCGGATTCCACGCAGCCATTCTTCCAGAGTTGATCTGCAGTAGAGTGCCCAAATATGATATGCACGGAAAGAATTTTACTACTGACAATCTTATGTTTAGTTTGTGTTAGACTAATATAGTAACCACAAATGAGTCAGGGCAAAGCTTCCAGGATCTACCCCAGCCGGCACAACTCAGAAAATAGTTACGCTTGGTTTCTGTTGCGTTTTTAAAACCTTCTAAAACAAAAAGAATAACACGTATCCTAAATGGTTTTTATTCCGTGAAACTAACTATTACTATTTACCATAAATACCAGTTAAAGTATTAATGGTTTCACCGTTATGGAAACGTAGTATTATATTTTAATAACTTTCCGTACGGAATGTGAAACCACTGATAAAAACATGCAACATTTAAATTTGACTTTAAAACCTCAAAAAACACGTGTTAAACTCTAGTAAAACTGCCCGTAATAAACACGTGCTTTTGGTTTACGCCTGGATCGTGAAAAACACGTGCCTATATAGGTTTTATTTTCGAAAAAGAAACTAGATGTGCCGATAGAGACAAGTCATAATCATCACTTCATATAACAGTTGTAATTACTTAAACTAATAATAAACAAAATAATAAAGTTAACTCATTCTCTCATTTGTTAAAAAAGTTGTACCCAAAACGTGCTAATATTTATTTAAAAAATGCTTTAAATCAACATAAATAAATATAAACAATAACAAAGGAAGTGACAATTGAATACCTAAAAAACTATAATAAGGAGACGTAATATTAAAAGTGGGATTATAAAAAAAAGATGCAAAATATACTAAGCCACTGACAGTAGCTTGTTGGAGGAAAAAAAAATCCACCTGCCACTGTCAGTGGCTCAGCAGAGAGAGTGAAATAAATCAGCATATATAAATATATAATGTTATAAATGCATTACACATATACGAAAACTCCGAAATATACTTTATGCTTTTTCTCAGAAAATCTTGATGATAGAGCAAAACCAATGGTACCACTGAAATCAGCATACCAAAATGATGTAAGAAACATTAAAAAATTAACATAAACAAAAATGTTGTTACATTGTGTAATTTGGCAATTTTAATTCAGTATATCAAACAATTTGTCAAGTTTTGCCAAAAATCTATCTTTATTCTTTAAGCTTGCTTTTCCCCTAGCAACCAGGTTGGCTGCATTTCATTCATTCACCAACGTTGAAGTAATATAATGTTCAATATGTGTTACAGGATATACAAATAAAGCATTGGCGAGGATCCATTTACCAATCAACTTTGAGTAAACATCGTTCATTAGTGATTTTAGCGGATTATTTCTTTTGTTTTTATTGTTTCTTTCTTGCAAAAACAGAACATATCTAAGAAGACTTCTTAGCGTTGGTAACTCCGATACAAGAATATCTGTTCTAGAACCTATATATTTCGAAAGCTTTGATCCTCTTCTTTTTCTAGTTCTTGAAGATATTGACTCTGCCATGATTAAATAGCAAAGTTCATAATTTGCAAACTTCTTGCGTAAATTTTTAAATTTTTTATAACATTTTTTAACATTAAACATACAAAATAATATGTTCAACAATTTATAAACTAGCAACCTTATATAGTTTTGATATCAAATAGAATCCGTGAGTGGGTGTAAACAATTACTTGCGTATAATAATGCAATTACAATTGCGTATAAAAAACAGCTACTTACGAAAATTTGACCATAAATGTGTATTTTTAAAACACACTTCCCGGTAGCTTAACATAAATTATTTTTAGTTTTTTTTTTTTTGGTTTTAATGATAAAATCGTTGTACACAAGTTTTCTATATACCGGGTTTTAGGAACTTTCTTTCAAAAAATCAAAAAGTATGACACACTCTTGTTACCACACATCCTTTTTTTCTGTTGCTAAACTACAAGACAGTCAATCATACTAGATCACGGCGGTAATCACGGCGGTAAAAATAAAAACTAATAACTAAATGTAATTGGGAGCAAAACATATTTTAGCGCGTGCTTCTTCGTAAAAAGAGGACGTCTGGTAATCCTCCTAGTAATTGTTTTTAAAAGTTAAATGATGTATCGATTTTATGTGGCGAAAACATTATATGTATTTTATTCTAAATGGTTATGTAATAATTGTGTCTCAGCAAGGCTAGATTAGTGTTATAAAATCGTTTTAATATTTATACATTTTAAAAAACCTAATTCATAAGATTTTGCAAATGAAATTTATGTTTTTATATAGTTTTTTATAAAACATGAAAAATATTGCTATTTATTCATTAGCTAAAATTAATATTGGATGCAGTTTTTAATGGTACTGGGTGTAGTATCTGGCAGGCCCCACGTAAAATTTGATACTTTAAGTAGTAAAACAAAGAAATGAAGATTGACGCCATTAGTTGCATTATATTCATCTTAAGGTGGCTTCACAGGAAATAAAAGGTGTAAAATCAAAAAAAAAAAAAAAAAAATTAAAAAATATCCTTTTTGAGAATTGTAACATTGCTGAAAATGATGGTATAACTATTTTGCAATAATTTCTACTATTTTGCATTTTGTCAGGTATGATTTGAAGTAGCTTCCTAAGCAACACCCATAGCATCAGAAAAAAAACAGTATGAAAACTTTTGTTTAACCACTGTTTTAATTTTTAATTCTGTTTTAATTTGTAACACTGTTTTAATTGTAACACTGTTTTAATTCTTTAAAAAAATTAATACCAAACAAAAGCAAGCGAGCCAGTTAATTTTGAATGCAGGTAGATATGCATGCGCTGAGCCTTTACTTAAAAAAATTAATGTTTTAAATATTTATAAACTAAACATCTATCAAAATCTGTTATTTATGTTTAAAATTCATAACAACATGCTTCCAACATATTTTCAACCTCATTTTACCTTAATTAATCATAAATACTCTACAAGACATTCCATTGGCAACTTTCTCATCACTACAACATCCCTTAGAAAAACAGACTTTTCAATTACATGTCAAGGACCACGTTTGTGGAACTATTTCCTTAATAGAGACATGAAAAACATGACTTCAATTGAACTATTTAAAAGAGCAGTTAAACGATACTTATTAGATTTAAATAATAAAAACATTCTTTTGTATTTTTAAAAACATTTATATATCGATTTGTTAACACGTATATATGCATCTTATAACTTATATATTTTATGAACTGTAATATGTTATAGTATGTATAATACTTGTAATATGTATAAAACTTATATAACGTATATTTTAGGAACTTAATACGTAAATCTTATTTGATATTTTCACGAACTTAGAAGCAGGGTGATAAGACGCATTGTCTTCTACTTGCTCCTGTCAGAATACAAAGATTTAATTTTTAATTTTTACAAAAAATATTGTAAAATGATTGTTTATTGACAAAAAATATCTATATCTATATCTATATCTATATCTATATATATATATATATATATATATATATATATATATATATATATATATATATATATATATATATATATATATATATATATACAGGGGCGGATCTAGGGTACGTCTAGTACGTCTTAAGATGTACCCAAAAAAAAAATTAAATAAAAAAAAAAAAAAATTAATTTACGTTTCAATTATAAAAATAACTTTTTTGGTTAACTGTCAGCTCAAATAAGATTTAATTTTATAGGCACTTGTGAAACAAGAAATACGAACGGTTTTTGTTTAAAGTTCTTGTTAAAAAGATATCTGTCTTTGCCGGAGGTTTAAGCAATTCTTGATAAATAATATTTAATTAAATAAACGAATGGACGTCCCCAATTTTATTTTATTATAAAATAAAAAATTATTTTAAATTTGTATTTGGCTTGTTAAAACAATAAATAAATAATATCTTTACTGATAATTATTTTTGGACGTCCTCCAATTGGTACACCCTTATTAAAATATTGTTAAAATCTTTTGTTTTGTGACGATCAGGAGGTAAAAATAATGATAATATCCTATAAATAATAAGATACACCAATAGACGTCCCCAATATTGTTTTATTTTATTATTTATCTTTATATTTAATTTAGTTTTCAATTTTTAATTTCTAAATACTCGGTTTCTTTTATAAAAAAACACTGCCGGACGTCCCTTTGTTAATACACCCTGAAATACATGCCTTATTCCTAATATTTAAAATGTTGTTTAATGTTAAAAAGTCAAGCATTTATTTGTGTGTTCGAGTATTAATTTAAAATGTCACTCAATCAAGAAGTTAAAAACATTATGCTACAAAATGATGAAACAAAATTGATCGCTTTGAAAGATATATTGCAAAAAAATATTAGTTCTTGTAATAATACGATTCTTGTCGACTCTTACGAAGAAGAAAAAACTCTTAAAAATTTTGAAATCTATCTGCCAAAGAGTTTTAAAGAAAAACATAATGGCAGTTATGTTGTTTTAAGGTAAAGGTATTTGTTCAAATTCCATGATATTTTTAATAACTTTTTGGTTAGTTGTAATGTTATATTGACTGTAAGCTAGTTGAAAATACTTATAAATTTTTTATATAAGTTCATTAATTATTATATTTTATGTATATCTCAGGTCTCAATCAACTGGAAACTGTCTGTACAGTTCTATCTCCTTACGTCTTACTGGAAATAACTGTATAGTTAACGATTTAAGATTACAGACCTCAATTGAGCTATTCTTAAATGCCGAGTTTTATTCTAACCATCCAACTTTTCATTATGCTTTTATTAACAATACTAGCTCTTTTCTTTGCTATGATAACATTCTTCCTTTATCAGTATCACTAAATTCTTTGGATTCTGGAAAAAAAAGTAAAGATTTAGTTCAAGAAGAAGCTATTAACAATTGTAACAATGAAAACTGGTCTTCTTTCCTTTGTATTCTTGCATTATCAAGTGTTTGCAACAAGAAAATAGAATGTTTGTATCCAGATTTTGGTCTACAGAAGTATAAAATTTTATTCAGCTCAACTATTTTACCTCGTATAACTTCCTTAAACACTATTGAGTCTTTACATCTCCTTTTTTGTTATGAAGGTGTATTAAATGATTTTTTCGCTCCTTTTCAACACAACCATTATACCCCTGTGATAATAAAAGAAAACTTAAAACAAAAAAATTTAAACAAAAGCTGCAAAATGTCGCAGACTAAAATAAAATTTTATTTCGAGACCAAACTTCAAGATAATAACTATTCGTTGGACAATTTAAAAAGTAAACCAATGGAAGTCTCTAGTCAACCCCCATTATCATTATCAAATTTTAGTAAAATTACATGTTGCGAATCATTTTCTTTACCTTCCAATAATTATGATATTGGTTATTTGGTTTCTAACTATACTAGTTATTCAAGTATTGCAAAAATCTTGAGTAATTCTGAACTTCAACATTTAGTTAAAGATGTTTTTGTACCTTGTAAAACATTTTCTTTTCCTAAAAATCTTAATGGGCGAAGTTTTCAATTTATGTGGATAGAAAAATTTCCATGGCTCACATATTCGAAAATATTCGATGGAGCCTTTTGTTTGCCATGTGTACTTTTTGGGTGTAATTTTCCATCTGAATGTAGTTTAGTCGAAAGATTATTTTGTAAGCCTTTTGATCGCTGGAATGATGCTTCTCGTTACTTTCAGAAACATGCATTTGGCAAAAACAATAATAAGTCTGTCTGCAGAAATAAAGGCTTACATGTAAAAACTGCTGAAGTTTTATTTTCATTGTCGTCGATTTGGTCTTCTAAAACAGAATCAATAGATATTACATCTCAAAAAATAGTTCAATCACAGGTTTCTAAAAACCGACAGTTATTACAACCAATTATTGAAACAATTATTCTCTGTGGACGTCTTGGTCTTTCTTTACAAGGCCATAGAGACGATTCAGAGTTTCATCCTGAAAATAGTGAGTCGTTTAATCATACTGTTGGAAATTTTATTGAATTATTACATTTTCGTGTTAAAGCTGGTGATAAAGTTCTTGAAGATCATCTTAAATATCATCAACAAAATGCTTCTTACATATCTAAGACATCACAAAATCAGTTAATAAGGTGTTGTGGAGAAGTTATTACTGACACAATAGGAGAAATTAAAAATTCTAAATATTTTTCTATTATTGCTGATGAAGCTTCTGACAGTTCAAACAAAGAACAGCTATCATTAGTTATACGGTTTGTTGATTCAAAGTTTAATATAAGAGAAGAATTTATCAGTTTTTTACATTGCACAAATGGTGTTACTGGTCAAGGATTATTTGATATTTTGTTAAAAAGTATTTCAGATTTTTCTTTAGATATCATGAATTGCAGAGGACAGTCATATGATGGTGCTGGAGCAATGGTTGGTCACACCAAAGGATTGTCCTCTCGTATTTTAATTCTAAATGAAAAAGCTACATTTGTTCATTGCTATAGCCATAGGCTTAATTTAGTTATTTGTGGCTCGTGCAATGTGCAATATGTCAAGAATCTTCTGGCATATGTTAAAGAGGTATCATAGTTTTTCAATCTTTCACCTACCAGACAACAAAAGTTAGAGGAACACATTGAATGTACTGTTCCAATAGCTGTTAAAAAAAAATTAAAAGATGTTTGCAGAACACGTTGGGGGGAAAAAGTAAATGGTTTAGATACTTTTCAAGAACTTTTTATTCCTTTGGTCTCTTGTCTTGAAGAAATGTCTTTAAATGCCAATAAGAGTTTTAATCATTCAACAGCTTCTAGTGCATCATCCCTTCTGAAACTAATTACAGGTTTTGATTTTGTTGTTGCTATGTGCATAACAAGAAATGTGTTTGACTTCCCATAACGCGAATGTTGCAGTCAAAGAGTAATGATATTTATGATGGTTTGAATCTTATTCAGGCGTTAAAAGATGTTGTGATTTCACTTAGAAATATCGTTGATCAACACCATAAAATGTGCTATGAACAGGCTTTAAAAATTGCACAAAGTATAATGTAGCTGAAGCAAAGCCAAGAACTTCATTTATTTCCAAAAACAGAGATAATACTCCTTCTGAATCTATTTCTGATTATTTTAAGTTAGTTATCACGATTCCTTTATTAGACCATCTAAGTGTTGAACTAGACACAAGGTTTGATGATTCTACCTTAAAATGTTATAAAGCACTTGTGCTAGTTCCTACAAAAATGATTTCAGTAGTGCAATGTTCTCATGACACCAGTTGGAAAGACTCCATCATATCTTTCAGTGACTTTTACTCAACAGACTTACCGAATCTGCTTGCTTTGTCTGGTGAGCTTGATTTATGGGAAGCCTTCTGGTTAAATTTTGAAGGAGATGTCCCTTCTTATATTTCCGAGACGTTAAAAGCGATAAATTTTCCTGGTTTTGAAAACATAAAAGTTTGTCTTAAGTTACTTGCTACCTTTCCATTAACTTCATGTGAGTGTGAGCGGACATTTTCTTCACTTCGGCGCCTAAAAAATTATATGCGAAGCACCATGGTTCAGGACCGTCTAAATGGTTTAGCATTAATGAATATTCATTCAGAAATAGTTATAGATATCAATAAAGTCATTGATAAGTTTGCCACTAATAATCGTAGATTAACTTTCAAATAAATATAAAATATATTTAAAAAAAATTTTTTTTTAATAAAAAAATGCAAAATACTAAAAAAAAACAGTGCAAAAAAAGTCAGCTTCTTTTGCCAATGGTAAAAAAAACGGCTATTTTCATAGCCACACACTTTTATAAAACATTATTTGGCATAAAGGAATTATTAACATACATTGAGTTGCATACATGTTGGTTTCAGGTATATCGTTTTTTTAATGTATGTTGAAATGATTATATTGTAAATGTTTTTATCTTTTGAACTGATTTTTTCAGATTTTATATATTTTGCAAGCATCAATAGAATTAAGATTTTAAAATCTACTTTTGCTATGCAAAATAAAATACTAAGATTGTGGCAATTTCTGTATATATAATTCAACTTTAATTATTTTAATATATAGTTATTTCTGTTATTTATATTTGTTACAATATAAACAAATTATATAATTATTTACAATAAAAATATAAAATGTGTAAGTTTATAATTTAATAATGAAATGTGTAAATATAAATCTAGTTTGTCATAATAAGTTTGTAAATATTATGTAAACATAATTTTACTATGGTAAGGTGCCCAAGTGATATCCTTGCGTATTTTTAGGCCTATATATATATATATATATATATATATATATATATATATATATATATATATATATATATATATATATATATATATATATATATATATATATATATATATATATTTATATATATATATATATATATATATATATTAACAGGGCCGTCACTAGGAGAGGGGGTTGTCTAACCCCTTACCAAAACTTTGTTGAAAAATTATTCGGCAAATTTGGACTTGTAGTCTGCAAGTTTGGAACTATAGTCGGCATATGTCAGTAAACGAGAATCATACGTCACCTTCTCCCCCCCCCCCCCCCTCCTCCTTTTTTTTCTTCGGGGCGGCCCTGTAATATATCCCCTCCAACTCCGGAATAGTTGAGGGGGGAGGGGGGGAGAATGAAATGTTGCTCGTAAAAAAATCAGATGTACCCAAATAATTTCCTGGATCCGCTCCTGATATATATATATATATATATATATATATATATATATATATATATATATATATATATATATATATATATATATATATATATATATATATATAAAAATATATATACATATATATATATATATATATATATATATATATATATATATATATATATATATATATATATATATTTTCGTGTTCTGTAATAATAAAAGATTTAGTTTAGAGGCTAACTATGTTCAGTTTCAAAAATAAAACCGTTTTACTTATTGAAATTGCATCATTTCACGATCATTTGATTACTTACTTCTTGTGACAAAACCATTATACTAACACAAGTTGTGTTGATAAAATGTTTACCTGAAGTATTTTTTTAAGTTAATAAGTGAAATATACAATGGATAATTATAAGAATACTTGAACTCAACTCAAGATAACAAGTTAACATAACACACTTAGTACGCAATAATAAAACTGTAATAAAACAAAGTAAAATAAACAATAATAAAACAAAAACTCTATGATAACATAACTCATAACTCAAGATAACCATACTTCAAAAAAAGTAAAAATGTAGATGCAGATGAAAACTATTCTCCTAAATTAAACTTGCCTTAATGGATTTATGAAATTATCAAGAAAGACTTTGATGAATTAAGCAATAACAATTTATTGAAAAAATGTCTTCATGGGCTAACTCAAAATTGTAATGAAGGACTAAATATTATTATCTGGTCCCGAAGTCCTTAAAATGTTTATGTAAAGACAGATGTTCTTGAAGTGGGAGTAAACTCAGCAATTCTTTCTTTTAATGAAGGTTCATTAGATATTTATTGTGTATTTAAACATTTAAATCTAGACTTTGGAAAAAATACGATAACCAGTTCAATACCAAAAGCGGTTAGAGAATATGGTGAAAAAAGGACAACCACAAAAAAAAAAAAAAAGAAGAAAAGAGCTGAGAGGAATTAGGAAAGGATTGATAATGATCAAGAGCGGTTATCCAAATATATCTACAAGAAAAGATATTTTTAAAACATTTTTTTCTTATTTGCCTTTTATCTAAAAATGAAGATTTTAACATGATGAACTAAAAACACGATATCTCAACATTAAAAAATGCTTAGATCTCCAAAATTTCCCCAATTGTTCAATACATATATATTTAGAATCTTGATAATTGAATGAATATTTATCAATTTCTAAATCTTTTTTGAACCTAAACCCCCTAGCAATTAGTCAATTTTTAGTTTTTTGGGACTTAAAAGAAATATTTTTGTTTTTATATTATGATCTTAGTTCATCCTCTAACTTATATATCAGAAAATAATATTGCAAAGTACCAAGTTGTTTTAATTAGCCATTCTGGAATAATCGTGTTTTGAAAACTAAAATAAATTATGCTTTTTTGAGCGTGTTTTTTATTAAAAAAATGCTCTTTATTTTTTTTCAATAAACTTTTATATTTTATTATTATTTTCATTAAACTAAATTTATAAAATTAATTTTAGAATTGATTTAAGTTATTTTACTAAAAAAAAATATATATTTCTTGTGAAGCCACCTTAAGAACTATTACTTGCATCAGGTTGTACTTTGCGCCAAGATGGTAAAGAAAAAGAAGCTAAAGCTATTCAACGATTATCAGAATAGTTTGAGTTTTGGTTCGAAAAATAATTTTTATTATTTTTCATGACTCAATATTTTAATATTTTTCATGACTCTTTTTTTTAAACATGCTTTTTAAATTAAAAGTTAAAAGTTTATTTTTTTTCAAACATAACAATCATAAAGTCAGTTGTAGAATTATTTTACCATTTAGTTCTGGTATATTACTATTTTATTCAATCAGTTATCTTTTTCATTTTAGGTGTTCTAAACATTAAACTCATTTTCAATTTCTGCTTGTTCACATATAACAGGATTAATATTAATTCTGTTATAAAACTGAAATAGTTAAAAGTAAAATAATTTCAGAATTATTTGCTGGCGCTTTATGTTTACCGCTTGCCAAAAAAATATTCTTTTTTTCTTTTTTTTTTAATCTTTTTTTTTTCTTTTTTGTGTAAGAAAAATATATGTCAACCAAAGTTATATCCATCTCGCTTTTATTAAGTGAATAAAAATGGTATAAAAGTTTACGATGAAAATATAGTGATTTGTACAGTAGCGTAGCGAAGGGCCCAGAGTTAATAGGGGCCCAATCTAAATTTTTCAAATTTATTTTTTTAAAGTTTTCATTCTTAAAAATAATATACATGTATATAAACATAACAACATCAGCAATTTTTGCTATTACTCAGCCAGCCAACACATAAGGGTACCATATGGGACCCATAAGGGCTTTGATACGGGACCCATATGGGCAACTCGTAGGGAAAACCATATGGTTCCCGTATGCAGCCCATTTAATTAGCCCATATGGTGCCCATACAATTACAACTAGGGAAATCTGTATACAGCCCGAAAGAAACCTCCAAGTATCTTAAGTCTCATAAGCGTGATTTAAGCGTTATTTAACCTATGCCTTAAAGTCAATCTTGCCATAAAGAACAAGAAACGTAGAAAAAAACAAACAGATGTAACTTGAACTATTTATTATTGAATAAAAAGTTTTAATGTTAAACAAATTTGTCTAAATTTTCTGACGGTGTAAGACAATCTGCATTTAGTTCAGTCGAATTAACGTTGACAGCAACTTTAGCAGATCTACGACTGTTACTTCCACGATCCACTTGAGTTAGCAAACCATGTTGAAAGTTCAGTTTTGATTTCTTTTGCGTGCAATTTTTGTGCTGGGATTTAATTTAACGGCACCTGTTTATAAAACAGAAGCATATCATTAAAACACACCTACCGACACACACACAAATATATATATATATATATATATATATATATATATATATATATATATATATATATATATATATATATATATATATATATATATATATATATATATAACTAGATATATATATATTATATATATATATATATATATATGTAACTAGAAATCGTTCCAGTGTATTTGTAATTTTTAAACGGTATTTTCGATTTTTGATTTTGTACTTTATGGCTGATGTTTATGATGTTCAGTGTTTGAAAAGGACAGAAAGGATGATGACTAGATGGATGTGCTCGACTCAAAAAGACAAGAAAAACAGTGATGATTTAAGAAAAAGATTAGGAATAATGAGTGTATCTGATAGGGTGCGTCAGGGAAGATTGAGGTGGTTTGGGCATGTAGAGTGTGAAGATGGCTGGTTATCAGCATGTAGAAAGTCAGAAGTTTCAGGAGAAAAAAATGGAAGTAGAAACAGAAAAACTTAGAAAGATTTGAAAAAGCTACATTTAAGGGAAGAAGATGTTCAAGACCGTGTATGTTGGAGAAATGGCATTATGAGAAACGTCCGATCCGTGTAGGCAAGGAAACAAGGACGCTTAAACGATAACGCTTAAACGATAATTTTTTTTTTATTATTTGCATTCACTCCCAATAAGGCTGCAAGCAACCACTATTAAGTTGGGAGTTACTAGGAAAAAAAAAGAATAGAGTTATAGAGCAAGGAAACGGTTGACAGAAGACTTGAAAAGTTGAAGGTTGTATGAGTCAGGAAAACATGAAGATGGGAGAGAGTTCCGAAGGATTGAAGTGCGGGGAATAAAACTAGATGAATAAAAGTTTTTAGAGCATGCTGGGACAGATACAGTAAACGAATGAGACTTAGCTGAATGACGAGTAAAACGAGAATGAATTTTAGTTGATGGAACTAGAGGTGATAACTCCTTTGAGCAGTGACCATGATAGTATTTGTAGAAAAGAGAAAGAGATGCAACTTTACGACGATTGGAAAGAGGTTCAAGCTTAGCAGATAGTCCAGGTTCAACAACATTTACAATGCGTTTTTGGACCTTGTCAAGAAGAGAAAGTGAATCGTTAGAAGAACCAGCCCAAATATGACAACAGTATTCCATACAGGGACGAATAAGAGATTTGTAGAGGTAGTAAATGGAATCAGAAGTAAGGAAATGG